AAGGGCATTTCATTGTGGCCTGAATACTCATGTTGTTGGTTTTCTGTGTTCTGGTTGACCATTTGCATATCTTCTTTGGAGAAATGCCAGTTTAGGTTTTTGTTCAGTGTTTAATTAGGCTATTTGTCAGCTTACTTTTGAATTTAAGAGTTATTTATGTGTTCTAGATATAAGCCCTTTATCAGATATCTGACTTTAAAATATTTTTCTCATCCTCATGCCTAACTTTTCACTTGCTGAATAGTACCTTTTATAGCACAAAAGTATTAATTTTGATAAAGTCCAATTTATCTGCTTTTTCTTCTGTTGCTTGTGCTTTAGGTAACATTTAAGAAAGCACCATCTAGTCAAATGTCATGAAGACTTACATTTGTTTCTGTCTGACAGTTTTATAGTTTTAGTTCTTATTTAGTTCCTCGGTCCTCGCTGAGTTAAGTTTTTGTGAGGGATGTGAAGTGGGAAGCCAATTTCATTCTTTTGTGTAGAGATTCAACGGTCTCAGTGACATTTGCTGAAACACTGCCTTTTTTGTTTTGTTTTTGTCTTGGCACCTTGTTAAAAACCAATTGACTTCAAAAGTCAAGGTTAATTTCTGGTCTCTGGATTTTCTTTCATTGATCTATCCACAGCTTATCTGTGGCTTGAAGGTATAAAGTGGGGAGGAGATGATAGAGTTTCAAGGATCCTTTCCCAAATCCTGGATTTGATGGTGACCAGAAATATCGTTACTTAGACCATCACAGTGTCCTCTCCACACACGGAAAAGAGAGAGCGGGAGGGAGGGAAAGCGGGAGAGGAGAGATCCATCTCACCTCCGCGCACCCTTCTTCCTTGGCTCTGAGCCCCAGAGACTGCTCTTGCTGCTTTCTCTGACCTCCTCCCCGTCTCACTGGCTGCCCAGTTACTGAGGTGGCAAGTTGGAGTTGGCCGTGGTTTTGTTTTTGGCAGTTTTTCCAGGCTATGCAATCACAGCCTATGTCAACTTCACTCCAAATTGGAAGATATTAGGGAGAATTCTCAGGCTCTTCTCCACTTCTCCAATATCCTCTCGGAATGCAGTAGAGCTGCTGTGCCAACATCTTTCATCTTCGTCCCTCATCATTTTTGGAAGCCGATGTTTTTTCTGAGGTTAGGAAAGTCTGAGTTTGAGGAAGTCAGTGTGGGGTCACATATCACCATCATGTTTGCCATCGTGGTCCAGGTGTCCCTGGATAAATCTAGGGTCACAGAAGGAAGCTGACTGGCAGAATGGTTGACAGCACGACTTTTGGTTATTCTATCAAAACCTGGAGCAATTTTGCTTAGGTTAAAATTTGAACTTCTAGACATAAAAATGGTTTGATTACATAAATTTATGCTGCCTGGGAAAGGACTCATGAGTCTGTCAGGGTGGAACAGGGATGAAGCAATCTTGGATATTTATCAACCCATATTTTAGGCTTTTGTGGCCACTGTAGCCAGAAAGTGCATAGTTGAGAGAGCATTTTCAGAGGACAGTGGCTATGTGGCTGTGATGTGGGATGGAGGTAGACGTCTGTTACTTTTCTGTGCTTGTTCCTTTCCCTTGTAGTCTGGAAACACAACTTGATCTTCTAGCCAAAGGGATCAGTATACAACTAAGCCAGAGCAATCAGTCTTCTGGGAGTTTTCAAATGGGGAGAGACATCTGTTTTTCTCAGCGTCAGGGTGTTGTGAGGGCACAAGCCATGATCGATGGTCAAAGTGACATGAAGCAAATGGAACCAGCATAAGGAGAGAGGAAGCCAGAGTCTGAAGCAGGCTCTCCCCCTGCCCTATGACTTGGCTATTGAGCTGATGGCTTGTGCTCTGACTAATAAAAATTTGAGTTGTCCTCAGGGACAGATATGAGAGAGTGGATAATTGCAATCATATCTATTACCTTGGCCCACACCTTTGCTTCCCAGGGAATTTGTCATTGCTTTATTGTGGAAGATTTTAGGGATAATTCTCTGAATTTGAATTTCAGTATAACCTCAGTTGCTTTAGTGAGCTGGTGTCTACTTTGACGTTTTGGTATTTGATGGCTGTTAAAGTAGATACATAAGGGAATCAGAAGGCAGGGGAAGGAGGGATTTGCCCTTAGAGTCCTTGCCGAGAAGACAGGTTCTCAAAGCGTGTGAGGTGAACATGTGTCAGGGTTCTCTGTGCAGAAGAGCCATGACAGATCTCAGCTGCTTCCCAAAGTCACTCACAAGACGCAGCCCATTCCTGGTGCTCATCACTGGCCACAGGGTGCCTCAGGCCCACTAATCCTTGGCCACCTTGCTTGTACCTCCTTGGAATATACATCCATACTTGGAGTTACCTGAGATTTTAATCCCTGTGATCAGAAACTGAGCTCATTTGTTGGGAGATCACCAACACAAATTGTGTGACCCAAGAGGGAGGTGTGGACATAGTGCCACATCTTGACCAGTGTACTTTACCTAGATGGCTTCTGGGAAGCTTGGTCTCATCTCCTGACTCAGGATTTCCAGCGGGTAGGCTGATGGCTGCAGGGAGCAGTCATGATTGTCGGACAGTGGGGTTTCACATAACCTCCTTCTTTATTATTTGTATGCATCCGTACCTTATCCCATTATTAAAACATGCATTAACCATTAGCAGCAGTTATATCTGAGTCCTTGTTACGTACTTCTATGTATGTTTGCATGTACATGATGAGTACAGCTGGAGACACTGGGGCTAAGGGCATCACTCCCTTCTACCACTGCATTCTAAACAGCACTGCATGGCCATTTTCCCTTCCAGTGTCCTAAGGGCTAGGAAATAACATTAAAGAACCCAGGAGATTGCTGACACTCTAGGGGTGGGCACCCATGTGCTGTATCCTGCCCTGCTCCCATCTCGTTAGAGGTTTATAAACATGTGCAACATGCCATACAAGCAGCTAAGCTCAGAGAGGATTCTGGGAGAGCATTTGTGTTGGGAGCCCCTGGAATGACACTGCACCCTGTCAGTCATGCCTGTAAGTCACACCTAGAGACTTGGGAGGCACCTGGGCTGAGGTGCACACCCTTTAAATCCCAAACACCTCTTTTAGGGGAGCTGCTGCTGCTGTCTCCGTGTGCCGTGTCCTGTGTGCGTGCTTCTCTTTCCTGTTACCCCGGCACCTTCTTCTGCCTGTGCCTTGTCTTTTGTCAACGTGGAGTCGCCCTGAGCACTGCTTCCTGTGATCTTCAGTAAATGAAGCTGCTTGCCGCTTGTGAGTGGGTGTGTGCTTGGCAGTTTTTTGCTCATCTTGCACAAGAGCCTAGAATGGACCTGCTCGTTCCATGGGAATGTGACCACTTTGTGCTGTGACTGAAGAGGTTGATATTATCGCTGTTTTGCAGAGGAAGAAAGGAGGCTTAAGGAGCCCCAGCAAGTACACGAAGCCATATTCTAGGAAGCGGTGGGCAGGGATGTGAGCTCAGGGTCTGACTTCCCACCAGCACCTTGGAGGCTTTTCCCCTGGAGAAGCCATCAGTGTCACCAGCATCTAGTTTCCGCCGCAGCTCGGGGAACTCCCATCCCCAGAGATGGGAGCAGGCGCTGGTGGCCTCTCCATTCCCCAGGTGCTCCTGACAGGCGGCCGGGGGCCAGGCCGTCACCTCAGGCCGTGCTGCCTCCTCGGTGCCGCTCCAGGCCCTTCTCTCTCGCTGCACACTCGCCCTGCACTCAGCACCTGCTGCCGGGTGCCTTTAGCTTCCCTGGGCTGCCTGCCCGCACCGCCTGCTTGGGCCACTCTGTCTGCTTGCTGGCCTTTCTGCTTTTGGGTGAAACCCCAAGTCCTCTCCTAATCCTCTAACCTCAAGGCCTAACAGTCCTCCCTCTTACTTTCCCTCCTCCTCATCTTCTTTGCCTTCTCTCTGCCTCCTCTTCCTCCTTCTCCTCCTCTGCCTCTTCTTTGTTCCTCTTTTCTGTGGTGCTGGGCATTGAAGCCAAGGCCTTTGCCCAGAGCTCCATCCCTGGTCCTTTTTATTTTTCACTGTGAGACAGGGTCTCACTTAGTTGCCCAGGCTGCCTCCGCCTCCCAGAATGCTAAGACTCCAGGGGTACACCACCACGTCTGGCTCCAAACTGCATTCTCAGAAGTGCTGGGATTTGCCAAAGCAGTGACCTGACCGGCTCAGGGCCTTTGCACTGCTATCCTTTAGTCTGAGATGATCTCCTCCCAGGTCACCGTATAGCCTGTTCTCTTAGCTCTTTGGGCCTCTGCTCAGTGTCCTCTGACCTGGCCACTACACCTGCCGCAGCCCTCACTCTGCCACTGGCTTCTTTCTAAGACATCCTGTCTCCTCTCACAGCTCCACATGGCACCTTTGAAGGAATTCGTTTATTCTGTGGCCCGCTGTCCTCACTGGAATGTCAGTGCCACAAGCACAAGGGCTTGGTTTTGTTCTTTGTCCTGTCCCTGAAGTGGCATCTGTTGAATGATTAGTTATAGAAGACATGAATAAATATCCTGAATTTTTTTTTTTACTAATACAAAAAAAAATTAGAAAAGAACATAAAGCTAAGAAAAAGAAAATAAATCTCTGACCAACTCAAAGCCCAGAATATGTTCCATATTTCTTGTATGTTTTACTCAAGAGTTTGAATACAAATTTGGCCTTTGGCTTTTCGCAGTCAAAGTGAAAAGGAGACATAGCAGTACCTGTAGAGTTCAGTGCTCTATTTGCTTTTGATAATATTTAAATATTTAAATATTTACATTAAATCTTTAGCTGTCAAATAAAACTTTTTAAAGAATAATTCTCCTCACATCCGGGCCTTTGTGCAATTCATCCCTCAAGTTCTCTGAGCATCAGAAAGCTTGCTTTAATCACTGCCAAAGAATTTCATTTCCTTCCTAGGTGATCAACTGACCTGGTTTCCCAGGACAGAAGTTTACAGAGATGTAGGACTTTCTGTACTAAATCCAGAAACTGGGACAAATGAACCACCCTCCTTCTTCATCTCTGGTTTGTTGCTTTTGCTCTTTGGAGAAAGGTCCATGAAGAATGAACTCCTTTTAGCTTGTGTGATTGTGGGTAGCTATGCTGAGTCCTGGTTTCCTTTTATGACTCACATGCAGATAGAAAGGGTAGGATCTGATGTGTGGGAACAACATTCTGATCAAGTATTCAGAAAATAAGTGAGTAAATGGAAGGAATTGTCAGGCAGGCTCGAAAAGCAAAGGGTAGAGGTGCTTCAAATCGGGAAGAGCCATGGTTTGTGGTGACAGGAAGAAGCAAGGACCAAGGAGATGGAGACAGAAGAGGTAACAGGCTGGGTCATGGCTGGCTGGGCGGCTTTGGGGAGATGAACCATTAGAGGGCTGGAGTGGGGGGAAGGGTGGGGGGGCTGCTGCTTCCCCTTAGCTGTGAATACAGAGAGCTGAGCAGGGTTTGGACCAGCACCATCTGAAATTCAACCAGAAATAAAACCACACTGAGTGTTAGAGCTTTAAGCCGCGTGAGCTGAGGTCACTGTTAGGTCCCCTGACATGGACTGCTCCCTCCTCTACAGTCTCAGGTTCCTGCCTGTGACTCACAGTGAGCCTGGGGCCCAGGAATTGTCCAAGTTGGGCTCCTCCCTCTTCAGCTCACTTAGGTTCTTCCTAAAAGCACAGGATGAAGAAGGCAAAACAGGAGCATCTTTTAATTTCTGTCATCCAGATATGATGTTAATATTTAAGGACTAAGTATTCCAGTTTTATTTGTATGCTTGTATACTTTCTAAAAAATGAAGTGCTACTATTTTATGTTGTAACCTGGTATTTTTCTTTTTGCAACCTGGTTTCTTCCTTCCTTTCTTTCTTTCTTTCTTTCTTTCTTTCTTTCTTTCTTTCTTTCTTTCTTTCTTTCTTCTTTCTTTCTCTCTTTTTACTTTAAAGAGACAAAAACTTCAAAAGAAGGTAATTAGAGGGTAACAATTGCTAACATATTATGTATTACTACCTTTTAATTAGTTACTCAGAGTGCAAGATATCTGCATTTTATTGCACAAATCTTTCTTTTCAATGAACTAAGAGAAATTAGTAAGATCACTTTTAACTACCATATATATGCATATAGATTATTTATTTCAGCTTCTTGCACTAGGAAGATGATATGATGTTTACTATGCAAGTTGATTTATTTCACCTTTGAGTATAGTCCCTAGTTGCATCCATTTACCTATTAAAGTCTCAACTTTATTTTTCTTTATGACTGACTAGTACTCCATTGTATAAAAATACCACATCTTTTTCATCCCTTCCTCAGTTGATGGGCTTTTGGATTGTTTCCAAGATGTAGCTATTACAAATTGTGCTGCTATAAACATGGGTGCACATATTTTGCTGAGATACCATGTCTTTAATTCTTCTGGGAAGATAGCCAGAAGGGAAATAGCTGAGTCAAAGGGGACCTTCGTTTTTGAGGAATCTCCACACTGATTTGCACAGTGGTCGCACCAGTCTACACTCCCGCCAGCAGTGGAGAAGGGTCCCTTTTCCCCCTCAGCTCTTTCAGCGTTTGTTATTGGTTGATTTCTTGATAGTGGCTATTCTTTCAGGGGCGAAGTGGAATCTCAGTGTTGTTATAATTTGCATCTCTTGAATGACCAGTGATGTGCAACTGGTTTCTTATATGAAAGTGTTTTCTCAGCATAAGACAAGCACAGAGTCACACATGATGTTAGATGCGCATGGTATACCTGGATGACTGTCCTGCTTTCTGTACTGTGTCGCATGGCCAGTTCTGCATGCCATTATTGTATTTTTTGGAATGCATGGTATTTGTTTCTCTAGATGTGAAATTGTCAGTGGGTTTTGGGGTGGCGGAGTCTTCCCTGGAGGTGGTTTCTAGGTTCTTTCTGTCCAGATCAAAGAAAGTGCAAACAGTAACAGAGTTTTATTAAAGGTAGGAAAGGAAATCGGCTCTATAGAGTAAGTTAAGGCCAAGTAAAAACAGCAAGAACAAGCTCTGACAGCATGAGGGCAGGCCACCACGCAAGCAAGAACAGAGCAAAGACTCACTGTGACCTTCTGCTTTGCATCACCCACTCCTCAGGCTGATGTCAAGTCCAGGCCGTCCTATCCAAGACTTGCTCAGATTTTCATGAGAAGTCCACATGCAGGGTTTCGGGAACTGTTCTGTATACATGTCCTGGAATCTCGTAGTTAACAGGTCTCACCTCCTTCCCCAGCTAGCTTTGCATGCCCTAACCTCCTGTTTTAAAATGATCTACTTCTTAATCCATTCCTCAGCTGATGGGTACATGGGTTGTTTCCAAGATTTAACTATTACAAACTGTGCTGCTATCAACATGGGTGCACATGTATCACTGTGGTATGATGTTTTTAATTCTTTTGGAAAGATACCCACAAGGGGAATGACTGGGTCGAATGCGACCTCTAATTCTAGGTGGGGTTTTTTGGGAATCTCCACACTGATTTCCAGAGTAGTTGCACAAGTCTGCACTTCCATCAACAGCGGAGAAGTTTTCATTTTCCCCCACAGTCCGCCAGCACTTGTTATTGGTTGATTTCTCCATGAGAGCCACTCTTTCTGGAGTGAGATGAAATCTCAGCATTGTTTCAATTTGCAGCTCTCAAATGACCAGTCATGCTGAACATTTTTTCATATATTTATTTGGCAGTTGTATTTCTTCCTCTGAGAAGTGTATATTCAACTCAGATGCCTATTTTTGGATTGAGTTTTTAAATTTGAGGGATCTGATTTTTAAAAAATTCTTTATGTGTCCTAAATATAAGTCCTTTTTCTGAGGAAAAACTGGCTAAAAATTTCCCTCACTCTGTGGGTGGTCTTTGCACTCTCTTGGTGATGTCTTTTGCTGCGCAAAAGGTTTTATACAGTGGAGTACTACACAGCCATAAAGAAGGATGAATTTGAGACATTTCTAGGTAAATGGATGTATCTTGAGACTATATTCTTAAGTGAAATAAATTGGAAACATGTGTGTAAACATCAAATTGTCTCCATGGTATAAGAAACTGAAAGAGTAAAAAAGGACCAAAATGTACAATTGATATTATGAAATAGGAAGAAATTGTTCAAAAGGAAAGAGGAACTAGGGAGGAGGAAGGGGGAAGGGAAGGAAGAGAAAGGAATAAAAGGATAAAATGGAAATGGAGGTTTGTAAATAGGGAAGGGAAGAGGGGTTGAAAGGAGGGAGGGGACTGGGAGACAGCAGGAATATCAAAATATATCATATACAGGTGTAAATTCCCTATGATGAATATGATCATTATGTATACCTAAATTGTACCAATAACTTTAATTAAAAAGTGATCTGCTTAAGCAGCTGTATATTGGGGATTTTACTTCTTTCTAACTTTTAAATACTAGTGTAACACTGCACTCTGTATCCTTGAGAACACCTCTGCTCACCTCTTCACCAGCTCCTTAGTTTCTAAAAGTAGATAAAAGGAGACAGGTAGTAAAGGCTTTTATGACTTTGTCAGATTGTTTTCTTGATTCAAGCAGTTCATGCCCTTCCCCTTAAGGAATGATAATTTCCTTTGCTCTTTAGTGCTTCAACCTTCCAATTCTTGCCATGAGTTACATATCGTAAGAAAATATTTGCCGATTTGATAGTTTGAAAATATATTTTATTTTGCCATTTTTGATCAGTAGTGGGTTGATTTTATTTGAAATGTAGTTTTTGGTATTAGTTTTGAATTATTAGAATGAAATAAAAGGCAAGTAGATTTATTCAGCTCCCAGCTTTGAGGAATCAAAATCCAAGATGAAGGTGATAGGGGGCCCAAGTCCACATGCTCACCACTAGAAGGATAATCTGTGAGAGGTGCAAGTTGATGGGGAAGAAATCAGTTTTTCTCAGAGGTCAGCACTCTGGAAAGATGGACAGACTATTGTCCCCTCCCCAAAGACTTAAGGAACTCAGGTAAGTGAAAGGGTTTTATAAGTAGAGAGAAGATGTAGAAGGGACCACGGGCAGGAAGATTACAGGCTGGGTGAGGTCTGGTCCACTCAAGGTGTGTGTCTAAGTTTTGCTCTCTGTGGCTCAATCCTTGCAATCAACTTGGGCTTCCTGAGTCTAATTTCTACAATTCTCTTGATAAACCTTATTGTTTCTGCAAGTTAAACCTTTGCAGCAATGTGTACGCTTTGCAGCAGTTGTTGAACAGGATTAAAGAACAGTAAGATAAGGCTGGGTGTTCACAGTGTGTTGTTATCTGAAGGTCACCAGCTATTGTGGGTTCTGTGAATCTAAGGAAAGATTAATTAGCAGTTAGCATCTTCATCACTGAGATGTGGGCTTTTTTTGGAATTCAGAATGCTGGGCAAAGGGGAAGAGAATTAAAGTCCCTCTGCCAAGGACAGCGCAGGAAGAGGCAGCCTCTGTCACTGTTACAGGGAGGCCTGTTGGTTTGGCCCCTGGGGAGGGAGGAGGAAGACAGCACCATCACATTTAGAACAAGACAGAGAAAGAGGCTTGGTAGGGCCAGGCTTGCTTCTTTTATAACCATTCTCATGTGTGTCAGAGAAGCCCAAGAAACAACAAACATTTCGCCCCAAGTGCTATGCTCTGCCCTCAAAGAGGTGTGGCCAGCTGTCTGGGCAAGTGGGCATGATCTGTCAGTCATGAAGATCCAGGACACATGCGCAGAAAAACAGTTCCCAAACCCTGCCCCTGGGACCAATCAGAAGATGTTATCTTCTGATGTGAGACCAAGCAGGGTTTTGATAGGTTAATCTAGATCTATCTTCAGCCCCAGAGGGAGATACAAAAGATGGTAGCCCTTCATTTTATGGCCGTGTCCTTTCTCGTTCTCAGAGCTCTGTTCTCAGTCTTCAAACCATTCTTACTTTCTTGCCATTCATAAATGTAAAACTTTGCTACGTTTTTTGCTTGTCCAGTTCTTTGTTGAGACAAAAACAAAACCAAAACAACCTGGAAAGACTCCCTGGGAAGTGCCCACAGCACCTCAGGACCCCTGTAAGGCCACCAGCTCCTGACAGCACAGCAGCAGACAGGTCTTCAATCACAGTGGGGCTTGGGGGCCCCCATCTGCACTTCAACCACAGTGTCTTAGTTACTTTCCTCATTGCTGAGACAAAATACCCAACACTTGAAGTTAAAGGAGAGAAGGTTTATTTGGCTCACCATTTATAGAGGTTTCAGTTCACGGTTGGCTGTCTCTAAGGCAGAGTGACAGGGCAATAGGGCATCACAGGGGGCCAGGCAGCAGGCAGCAACAATAAACGACAAATGAAGGGTGACAAGCAACTATGAACGCAGCCCTTAATATTTTATCCACACTTAATTTTACCCTTAATTTTAGCATTGCACCATGAATCGCAGAATCACATCTTTGATCCCACCAGCACATAAACTAGATCTATCCGCTTCCCCAAAGCCTCACCTGGGACTGCATGAGGCTTCTGGGGACATCTAGACACAAACTGTATCACACAGTACATGTAGTGTGTGTGCCTAGCTCTTCTATTTTAGCCTATTTTTTTTCTTTTTTTTATTTAGAGAGAAAAAAGAAAGGAAATAAAGCAGTAACGGTACAAATACAGAATTTCAAGAAAAAAATATACAGTAAAAAATCATTAGGTAATAGGTTACACATTGTCATCTTAGAAACAGTTGTCCAAATTATCCTATTTTTTTTCTTTTTTTTTTTAACTTTATCGGTAGCGGGGATCGAACTCACGACCGCCTGCTTGCAAGGCAGGTGCTTATGTCACTGAGCTAAATCCCCAGCCCCACTATTTTTTTCTTGACTAGGCTATTGATTTTTTCTTAAGCAGCTCTTTCTGAGTTATGAATATTAAACCTTTGTCTTTAAAGTGAAGATATATTAAATTTGGGCTATTTTTGAACTATTTTAAAGTCAAATTAATTTTCTTTTTTTGAGGTTCTGTTTTCATTGCAATTATTCGTACAGAATTCTTTTTTGTCTTATATTAGTTGTATATTTACTTATAGAATATTTTGGTTTTTTGTGATTTTATTTTTAATGTTTGAATGATACTTTTTTATAATTTGGAAAATCTATAAATACAGAGCAATTCAGAATATAATCAAACAATTGCCTATGTGTTTCTGTCACTGAAATCTCATAGATATTATCTGGTTATCTTTTGAACTTTAAAATATAAGAAATAAAATATTGCTGAAATTTCCTTTGTACTCTTCAGGTCTAATTTTCTCTTTTCCTTCTGAGAGTGATACTCATCAAGAAATACATGAACGCCTGCTGGGCCCATGTTTTCATGCTTGTATTACATTTTATATCCCTGAAAGCAATATATATCATTATTTTGTGTATTTTAAAAACAGAAATAAATTCTCTCATAATGTGCACCCTGTATGCTTTCCTTTTTAAAAAGCTCCATGACTCATTTATTTATTTTATTATTATATTTTTTTAGTTAAGGGAAAATTTTTTAAAAAATTAGCAGGATATATTATAGTAACTTTTTTGATTTCCTATTAACTTGATTTGAAGCCCTGTATTGCTCTCACCATCTTGTTTTGACTGATTTTATTCTGTTCTGTTTGATAGTATCAAGTTTGAGGGTAGAGGCAACTACTTTGAAGGCAATAAGATTCACTATGATGCCCTTTCTGGTTTGACTATTATCTTCTTTTGAAGTCCTGTAATGTCTCCAATGTTTAGGTTTTATTGATTTTGTTCTGTACTGTTCTGTTCAATTTTATTATACCTGATGATATAGGCAATTCTTTTTTTTTTTGGTCTTTTTGAGACAGGGTCTCGCTATGCAGTTCAGGCTGGCCTTGAGCTCACTTTGTAGCCCAGGCTGGTCTCGAGCTTGCAACGATCCTCCTGCCTCAGCCTCCTGAGTGCTGGGATTACAGGCATGAGCCACCACGCCCGGCTCTGGCAATTCTTTTTGAGGTAGCTTGAGGCATTATGGTAACTATTGTTGATTACCTTGTATTCTGTTTTTACATCATGTACTATGTCCATCCTTTGTTTTGACTGACTGCTTTGTTTTGTCACATTTGGCTTTATTCTCTTCCAAAAAAAAGTAATAAGAACTGTGGGAGTAATAAAACCCAAAATGTGTACATGTTATTGTAAAAAGAGGAAAAGAAAGTGCTCTAAAGGATTCAACTGCAAGTGTGTTTAGGTGTGTAAGATAGATGACCATATCACTAAGTTTTTATTGGATCATTGAACACAACTGTTTGCAGTATCACTGTTTGAATATCCACTTTGTATGCTTTAATTTTGTAACTATTTCTAAGATGACAATATGTAATCTATTAACTAGTGATTTCTTACTGTTTATTTTTTTGAAATTCTGTATTACTTGTACCCTTTTACTGTTTTTTTTCTTTAAATAAAATAAAAAAAAGTAAAAAGTTCCATGTCACATTTTGGAGACTCACACAGCTGGAGGCCTACGCCCACATTTATTAAAGGTAACTGCAGTGCAGTGATCCAGAGAATGACCACACCCAATGTTTGCATGTCCTTTGTTGCCACGCCTGGGTGCCATTGTTCCTTTTCTGTGGCCCTCAACCCCCTCGCCCCCCACTGTTCTTTCCTGCAGACCTCCAAGTCCCTGCACCGTGGTCACAGCTGGGCAAGTCTCAGCGTGTTGTCCTGAGCTGGACCCCAGTAGACAGGAGACTGTGGGGGAGGTGGGGCTGCTCTGGGCTGAACACTGGGGGCAGAGACAGGAAGGAAACAGAAGAGGCCGAGGAGAAAACTGAACCATGTGGCAGCTGTGTGGAGCACCCATCCACCCCAAGGTCCCACCCAGCTTCCCTGAAGCACCAGGTCTTGGTAGCTGTGAGCTTCCTGCCAGGGCCCAGCCTCCAACTAGGGCCTGTGTCACTGTGTCCTTCCCAAGGCAATGGCTTCTGGCAGTGTGATGGCAACTGGCTCGGGCCCCCAGACACCGAGGAGGGTCCAGCAGCAGCACACATCAGCCCCAGGCTGTCTTGCTGCTCTGCTGCCTGGAGAATCAGGTGCTTCCTGCAATTGTTCAGAGCCTGAGACCCCCAGGGAAAGCTGTGCCTTGGCGATTTCTCCTCTGATCCACCGAGCCAGGCTCCAGAATGCTTTGTGAGTCTGCTGCCCCCATGTATGACAGAGGAGTGCTTCTCCTCGAATGATAGCCAGGCATGACAGCCAGATCTGGTCCTACCTGAACCCTGTCTTACAAGAGCCACAACAAAATATTTCTGAGCTGTGCATGGCAGTGCCACCACTTGGTGGTAATCCCAGCACTTGGAAGGCTCAGGCAGGAGAATCACTATGAGTTCAAGGCCAGCCTGGGCTACATAGTGAGCTCAAGGCTAGTCTGAGCTATATAACGGAGCTCTTTCTCATAAGAGGAAAAAAACCCAAACAAATCCTGAAGCTATTGGCATACAGGTCAATTGACTGATCTTATCGCTTGTCAGGGTTCATTGAGTTCTTACCATGTACACAGGCCATGGTTGCAGTAGTGGGAGGGACAGCAGACAGATCTTACATTGTAGCGGGGAAGCAGACAGAAACAGCAATACTACATGGGGACATGTTAAGTGGAAAAATATCAAATTAGGTGTAGAGACTAGAGAACTGGAGGGAAGGGGTCATTGTTTTAGAGACGTTGGAAAGCCTTTTGGACATGGTGATATTTGAGTTTCAGCCAGAAGAAAATAAGGGACTGAAAAGTATGAGCATCTAGGAGAAGAGAGTTCTAGGCAGCATAAGCAAAGGTCCTGAGGCAGGAGCACACTGGGAATATTCTGGGACTATGGGAAATGCCTACATGCCTTGAGCAGAGCAGGGGAGCAGTTGTAACAGATGAGTGACCCGTGAGTTATCCAGAGTGAGATCAGAGCGGCTCTTAGACCAACGTAAGGGCTTCTGTTTTTTACCTTCAGTTAGGTAGCTGTCTTTGTTGAGATTGATGAGTCACTGGCGTGATCTGATGTTGGTTTGAAAAGCAGCACTCCAGCAGCTGTGTGAAGAACAGTGTCGTGGTAAAGGACGGGAGTGTTAGCCATGCACGGATCTCTAGGCCTAAAGCATTCCACAGGCAGTGGGTGTGGGTAGTGGAGAGGTCAGGACGGACACAGTGGGTGGGGGAGCTGAATGGGCAGGACGAGAGAGCCAGGTAGGAGGAAACTCCTGGAGCGGCTGCCTGGGGACCCCGCACAGACAGCTCCTGCGGGAGCCCACTCTGCCTGGCTGGCTGCTGCTGCTGTGCCGCTTCCTAGCAAGGTTTTGGCCATTCACGTGGGTTTGGGGAAAAGGCAAATTAAATACAAGTGCAAATCTAGATCTTGATTGCCATAGGTTAGACGGGATCAAAGCGAATCTTTTACTTTGGAGACATAGAGCACTCTGTGTAGCCTTCTCTCTTCTCTCCACAGCCACCCAGCTTCCTGGATGATGCTAAAGCCATTCTCTCACACTCTGATGCCCACCGCTCCACGTGTGACCCCACAGAGGGACCTCTCCACACCCGGCCACTTGTGCCTCCTTCGGCCACCTGGGCTTGCTGTGGGCTCTTTTCCTCCACTGTGAGCTGCTCCTGCCTGGGAACTTCACTGGCCTTGCCATCATGGCCCTCGTGGTGTAGGTCCAGCTTTTCCCACTCAGTGGACTTTCATGTTACGTGAAGTGTAAAATGTCCTTTTCCTAAATATAATTTTTCCCCTTTATTAAAACACCATCTAATCCTTTTTTTCTTGGCAGAGGACAACCTAGGCTGTATTTATTGGCAATATTATTATACACTTAAGCAAAGGGAAAAGAAATCAGAGCTATTTAACAAGGGCTAAAGCCAGGCAGTCCCGGGGGTTCCCTCTGATCTCTGCTTTTCCAAATTGCAGTTGAAACTGTTGTCCTGGGTACAGAGGCACAGGCGCAGGGCTCCTGTGAGGGGAGCCGGGCTGCAAAGCTGTCTGCCGGCCTCTGCCATGTGGGAATCAGGCGCATGCTAGGCCTGCTCGGCTGGTCCCTGCAGGATGGGGCAGAGCTGGTCTCTCTGCTGGCGAGACATGGTGACCTTCACCGACCATCAGCCCAGTGCGAGTGGGCCTCCCTGGACACACTCTGATAGTGTCATCCCAGGAAGAAGAGCACTCTTAAGGTCCAGTTATTCTGGCCTTGCCCCAAGTGCAAAGAGGAGACAAGAGACAGGGGAACTTAGGACCTCAGGGCTTGTGAGGCCGGTGAAAGGCCTGCGCAGACTTCACGCAACACAAGCGACTACAGGTTTGCCTGAAGCTCACCCTGTTTTCATGCCCACAGAGCATTTCCTTTGGTTTGCCAAGATTAAGAAATACCCAGTTCAATCAAAGACAAAAACTGCCTCGCTTTTGTCTCGGTGACTTTTCTCATTGCCAAGACAAAATACCCAGCATCCAAAGTTAAGGGGGAAAGGTTTAACTTGGCTCACAGTTTGTAGAGGTTTCAGTCCACCATTGCCTGGCTCCAACGACGGGTGACATGGCAGAAAAACAGTCCACAGCAGGCAGAGGGCAGCAAATCAAACCGGCAAGGGACCTGAGCAGCGTCTTTCTGCCCCTTTCATATTGTACAGTATCCAGGCTACCAGAATTAGGGCAGTGCCAAACCAATCAGTGGACTAATTTAGAAATCACCCACCTTAATCCCAGTGTCACAGACTAGATCCAATCACCTCTGAAAAAGGTCTACGTGACCGCATGCAGCTTAGAGGGGCACATCTAGACACAGCCGTAACAGCTCAGTTCCCCAAGAAGGGGTGACTCTGTAGAGGAAACACTTTGGAAAGATGAAGTGGAGGACAAACCCCAGAACACAGACAGGGTGTTTGGAGTGGGAGGATGAGCTGGATGGCTCTGCAGTGGCCTGCAGGAGAAACCTGGACTCCCTAGGGAGAGGAGACTGGGACTTGTGAGTGCCCACTGTACCCCTTTGTCTGTCTTTTTCACTGTTCGAGGAGTCTTTGACACATAGTAGATGCTCAATAAAATGTTTGTAGAATTCATAACCAGGAGACAGATAAAGAAGTAATGGGGAAGGATAACTGCTTTCTTATGGTTTAGGACAGTGGTGACGAACCTATAGGACCTATGGAACACAGAGCCCTCTGTTGGCCCACGTGCCAAGTTGCCTCAACCAAGGTGAGACAAATGACCAGCATGCATATGACAGCAAAGGTCACATTAATTGTGCAAATGAATGCCAAAAGCAATTTTTTTTATCTTTCAATAGAAAGCTTATCTCATTAAATGCTCTGTTATTGTTTTTCTTTTAAGACAAAAGATGTGATAATGTATGAGCTGTGTTTCTCTAAACTAAAACCCCTGTATTCAGAGTTGGTGTTTTGTGATAAGTAAGTGGGTTCGGGGCTGCAGTTTGGGCACTCATCCCTAAAAGTTTCACCATCCTTGGTTTAGAGCCTGAGACCTCAGGCTATTCAACCTGACTGTGAGGAGTGCCAGGCTCAGGAGACTGGAGCAGCTACTGTACGGAGGCACAAGCTGGGTCCAGAGGAGCGAGACCCTTGGCCTGAAATTTGCCAGAAGTCTGAGTAGGAGTTGCAGGATTTAACCCGAATCTTTCGGCCCCTGTTCGTTTATTCCACAGATGCCATTTTGGTCTGAGGCCTGGTTTTACTGAGGCCTAAGAGAAAGCAGAGGGATCACTGACTAAACTTCCATGAGTGCCCTGTTCTCCTGTGACCCTGAGGAGCTGGGAACATCAAACCATGTGGCGGGAACTTCCTTGAGCTTACGTCTCACCAAGCTGAGGAGGAGTCAAGCTCAGTCAGTGCGGGCAAAGTGAGAGGTCAAAGGAGGGAATTCCACCATTCCGTGGGAGCTCTCTGCACACCTGTCCACCCCAATCAAACCTCAGGTCATCAGCAGCTCCATCTTCTTGGGCCTGAGAGGGGGTTCAGAGACACAGATGTCCAGGTGAGCTGGCTCACCTGGACATCCTGGGCCTCTTGTGGCTGTCTGGGTGTTTGTGATGGATGTCAAGTCTGCAGGATGGGCCTTCCACATATTGCCTCCCATGCATACCAGGTGACAGGTACAGTGTGACAGGTGGCATATGGCAGGTCACAATTTTTTGTTTTTTTGAACCTAGGGATTGAGCCCCTTGTCTTCACACTGAGCTGCATCCCAGCCCTTTTGTTTCAGACAGAGTCTGGTTAAGTCGCTCAGGCTAGGCTCTCATTTGGGATCCTCCTGCCTCAGCCTCTAGGGGCCTCCCACATTACTTTGGCAGATGCATGTCACTTCTGAGTTCAGACTGTAAAATACCACATCTCTGCTCTCCTTGCCCCCTCTGGGCACAGCTGGTCCTGCTGTATGCAGGCGCATTGGGCTGAGGCCGTGAGGTTAGTGACTGCATCTCAGCCAGCAGTGGACAGGACTGGGCCGTCAGTCACCCCTCAGCTCAGACATGTGCTTGGGAGCAGAGCTCCCACCCTAGCTGAGTCCTGAGATGACCTTCACCCCAGCACCACCTCCTGTGAAACCCTGAGTCAGAGCCTCCAGTGCGTCACACCCAGCTCCGGACCTGGAAATTGGGGAGTTGACCAGCACTGGCTATTTTAAACTGAGAAGCTGAGTGGAGTGGATTAGATAAGATGAATAATTGACAGATATCTGTTATTCTGTGGGAGAGAACTCAGAAAACTCCCTGCCCTGGTAGGGATAGGTGGACCTCTTTCTGCTGGTGGCAGAGCTGGTCTAGGACTGACACGTGACCCAGGCTGGACACACACCAGGGACACAGAGGCAAAGGTGCACACACTCCTGAAAAGTTGTGGTGTGACTTTTGAGCTCAGGAGCACAGCCTGAAGCTTCCTATGCGGAAGTGCAGAGGGGAGGGGAAAAAAGTGGGGGCAGGGGGAAGGCAAGGAGCAGCGAGCGAGGGGCACCCAGGCCAGTGCTGAGCTGGATGCTGGCCACACGTGGGTCCCAGGGCAAAGCACAGCTGAAGGTGACTCTGGACCTGGACAGCTAACTCCTGTTTGTTTTGCTGTCTTTGATTTTCTGCCTCTGCATCCTAAAGATTTCTATTGATTTGGTGACAAAGCTCCACTTTTCAGAGGTGGCAACTGAGGCTCGGAGAGATTAAGTTACCAGCCCAAGACCATAGAGCCAGCGAACAGCAAAGTCAGAATTTATTTTAGGAACTTCTTCCAACAGCGGATCCTTTCTAGAAGGTCATTCTGGATGATGAATCTGCTTCTGAGGACTGTGGCTTCTAGGAATTCCTGGAAAGACTGAGTAGATCAAGATGGAAAAATGATGAGGAAACTGGGACTGCTGATGTACACTGGTAACCCCAGCACTTGGGAGGCCGAGGCAGGATGATCTCTGTGAGTTTAAGGCCAGCCTGGGCTACAAAGTGAGATCTTGTCTCAAAACAAACAAGCAAATGATGAGGCAGACCAAGTCCATTCAAAGTGGATGAGTAGCTTCTCTTGGGCACTGGTCTCTGTCTTTGCTGGGGAAGTCACACATGCAGCCTGAGGACCTGGTGCATGACGGGTACACACATTTCCTCCACCACCTCTGCATCCTCATCTCCTACATATGGAGGGTCCTCTGCAGATGCCTCCATGGGGCTCTGCCACCATGGGTGGCCTCTGCCACCCATCTGGTTCCTGCTTCCCATTGTTCACTGCCTTCTTCTCTGAGCTCTGGGTCACCAGGGAAGCACAGCAAGCATCAGGGGAGGTGTCCTGATTTGTCACTGCTTCTCTGAGCATTTTCTTTTTGTTGGTGGGGACACTCAGAGTGTGTGTCAGTGTAGGTAGGCTGGGGATGCCACCCTAGGCAGGGGGCTTTGAGGGGTGCCTGCCGGTGTGAAGCACTGAATAGATAGCACTAAAGCCCTCAGCCCGTTCACTGGCCTTGTCCTATCTCCTGGTGCGGGTTGTTTTGAGCCAGAGGAGAGGAAGCCCATTTCTCCTCACAAGAAGAGGTCTTCCTCCAATTGCTCCATGGAGTTTGTGCAAAGCACGCAGTGCCCTCACCCAGACACTCAGCAAGCAGCACTCCAAGGCCAGTTCCATGCTTCCACTAGAGCTTTCTCAGTGGGTGGGCACCTCCTCCTGCCTCTGCCACAGGATGGAGAATGGAGACTCATGGGATGACAGCTGTGTGCCACTATGGCTGGTCGTATGTTACTTCTTTGATAGAAATGACTCACATAGATAAAATGAAGCAGACACTGTCATTTAGAGAACCGAAGGTGCCAGGAGGAAATCAACTGCCAGCAAAGTCAACAGGCTGTGCCTTGGCCAATGACTTACTTCTGGGGAGAAATGAGGACCCACCTCCACTGTCCCCCAAGGCACTCTGCTGACCTTGGCAGTGGCAAGAGGGAGGAGTCTGGTGACTTCAGGGTCCCCATGAAGGTGAGGGTGAGGCAGAGCTGAAGTAACTGACTTTTCTATTCTTCCCGCTCCTGCTGCAGGGAGCTGGGAAACCTGCTTTGGTGTCCCCCTGCTGTGTAGCAGTCTCTCTCCTCCAGATGCTCAGACACAAATGCAGTGTGACTGTTAGCACCGTGAGTGCCCTCATTCTGGCCACTTCCTTGCTCTAGCCACATCAGGGAGGGGAATCACCTGGAGAGGGGGCTCACATCAACAGGGAGGGACATGGCCCAGTGGGTAACATCCTCAGCCTCTTCCTGCCTCAACCTTCCTGAGCTGTGT